AGAACCCCCATTACGCTCGGACGGACACCCCCAACACACGCTAGATATCGAAACCATGCAGAATGCCCTTAATGAAATGGGATTAGAAGACACATTCCGCTCATTATGGCCCCATGAAAAGGGTATCACGTGGGTAGGCCCCTCCCTCCGGAAGCGCAGTAGATTGGATATGGCATGGGGAACGAGGGAACTAATAATGCACCTTCTTGACTTCAGCATCATCCCTGTTGCCCGTTCGGATCACAAAATGATCTCAACTGTGTTTGCCATCCCTTCCAAGCTGAAGACCAACCCCCCCCTGGCGACAGTCCCAACATGGATGTTTTCTGACCCAGCCTACAGGAACCTGATCTTACAGCACTGGGAGTACTGGATCAAATTACGAACCCCCTCCCACGCCTCCCTATCCTGGCTTATGGATGGCATGGCTGCCCTTGTCAGGCTGCTCAAAGCAAGAGCTGCGGCATCTAAACGTGCACGTAGACGCACAGCTGAAGAGTTCGCCCAGCGCGCGATCGACCTAGGGGATGGTCCAAATTCCCAGGAGGACGAGGATGAATGGTGGGCGCAATGGGCAACCTTGAAAGCCCAATGGGAAGAATTGCAGATTAGTGATGCGGACACCTGGGATTTAGAAACAAGGCTAATGGATTATAGCAGCAGAACGAATGTCTAAAACATTCTTCGCCCAGCTACGGGCTGTTAGGCCTGCCTCGCTAATGGTAGCCCTCAACCACCCATTCGATGATACATGACCGACGACAGATTCCACTCAGTCTATTATATAATATGTGGAGGAATACTATCGATATCTGTTCTCGGAAGAAAAAACTCACGACCCTCAGGACCCTCCGGAGGATTTAGAACAATTTATTTGGAGCAAGATTACCAAAACAGTATCGATAGAAGATAGGGAGAGGCTCGATCAGCCAATTACAGACCAAGAGCTGTCAGCGGCTCTCACTGACATGCCCACAGCAAAAGCACCTGGCCCCGATGGTATGCCAATAGAACATCTCAAACTGTGCTTCGAAGTCCTTAGTCCGTACCAGCTGGAAGGTTTCAACTCTGCATGGTCAGAGCAAGAAGCCCTCCCTCCGAATTTCGCCCTGGCTACTGTCATCTTGGTCCATAAGAAGGGCCCCCTCAAGGAAATCAGAAACTAGCGGCCCATCTCACTGCTATCGGCCCCCTACAAGTTGTTCGCCAAAATTATGGCCAACCGCTTGGCCACACTTCTCCCAGCAATTGTAGACGAGACGCAAACCGGGTTTATCCCTGCCCGCAGAATTATTACCAGCGTTCTCCTAGCACGACAGGTGCTATGGCACGCGCAACATTCGCAGCCTCCCCTTGCCTTCGTGATGCTAGACTTTGAAAAAGCGTACGACAGAGTCTTATGGTCCTTCCTATGGCAAGCTCTCCTGAGGAGGGGATTAGGCCATAAATTTGTAAACATGATTACCAAACTTTTCAATGCGGCGGAATCCAGATTGCTGATCAATGGATTTCTTACACAGAAAATCAAGATAACAAGATCAGTTCTGCAAGGTTGCCCATTGTCCCCCGCGCTTTACGCACTATTTATTGAGCACCTCCATGAAATGCTCCAGGCAGATGACAATCTAGTAGGCTTACCCCTTCCAGATGGCAGACAATTGAAAACCTCAGCTTTTGCGGATGATACTGGGGCAATTATTGCCCTTACGCCCACAAGCGTTCGGGCACTCCAAACGCAGATCGAACGGTTTGAGCAGTCCGCAGGCGCCAAGTTGAACTGGCACAAGTCGATCTCACTGATTCCAGACATGAATGCTGCCAGCCTCTTTGAAGGCATGCGGGTGCAGTCCATGGCAGATAGCGCAGTATACCTAGGAATTGCTATGCCAGACGCCTTATCTAATGGATCTCAGATTGAGGCCATTGTGCAAAAAGCCACCAACTGCCTGGCGCTCTGCGCCAAACGACTCCAGGCAGGGGTATTTGGCCGAGCACTCTTTGCCAATACAGCTGCCTCTTCGATGTTGTGGTATGCTGGAGTGGTATCGATGCCTGGCCAGGGTGCACAAGCGAACTATAAAGCAAATCTCTCAAAATTCCTATGGAAAAACGACCCCCTGGCGCCGAGAACCATCCACCGGGTAGCATGGAATAGAATTATCCAACCTAGGGCATCTGGTGGACTCGGTATACTCGACCCCTCCAACCAGATTCGAGCCTTGCACTTGCATACGATCCTCTGGCTGCTCCTGGAGGATGAGTCTGCCCCGTGGAAAGTTCTGACGCTGCAGACCATGGCTGATGCCATGCGCCTCCACCCGGCGGATGTGGAAACAACACTCCTCCAGCCCTCGCTTTTGGGCAACTTAAAGCGCGGTTCACCCGGAGAAATGGCTAACTATGTTGAGGTCTGGACTAAGGTATCGGGGGGAATGGGTTGTACTGCAAGATAGCAACCCACCATTTACCTTCTTTCAGCTGCAAGCCAAAATCGGCCCGCAATGGTTCTTAGTTGAAGCCTGGCAGGATCCGACCCAGAGCTCATCCTCCAATAGACTGCTAGGTGGACCGCTGCAAAGGATCCCAGAACGGGATGGCTGGCTTCCTGCTGACGCTGTTCGCTCGGTGGCCGTTTTGAGAGACAAGACTCGTTCCTCAACACCAATCTATAGACCATTTCAACCGGGGTGCAGGCCATTATCCCTGGCAGTTGACCCCTCGATGTGGGTATGGAGACCGCAAGGCTCGCAAAGGAAGCCGGAACGCCTTCACCAAGTCCGTATAAAGATCATCTACCAGAGACGTAATCGGGGGGAACATCCGTGCCATGACAGTTGAGGAATGGGAAACCTGCCTGTTGGTTGGCCCGTATTTGAGTATGCAAGACACCCGAAAAGAGAGAGCCTACGCTATCGAAGTCATCAGAGCAGCGTTCATGGAAGTAGTTTGGGCGCTGAGAACAACCAGTTTCTTTCAAAGCAAACACGCTTCTGTGGTGGCGCTGCGCAACATGACCTTGGCAAATATCAGGACTTCTATAGCTGCTGACGCCAAAAGGAAGCCCCCTTCGGACTGGCCGCTCTTCCAAGCGGCCTGGGGCCCTTACTCTCCCCTGGTCATAATTGGAAGCGCCCCGGGCCTATGGCAATGGAAATGGGAGATTGCGAGTCTGACATAGCTCATTAGTTGTTGAAGGCCAGGAAAAATGGGAGACTGTGAGTCTGAGATAGTTCATTAGTTGTTGAAGGCCAGGAAACTATCTGGGGGGTGAGGATTGAATAAGAGCAGGTATCCGATAGGTGGATGTAGTCATGGGAGATGCAGAGATACACAGAATTTTAGTGGCAACTCACGATGTAGGATGTAGGATGGAATGACGTATTTGCTAGATCGATATACCCGTTGGTAGGTCAAAGTAGTTATGCTACCTATATAGAATTCTGTTCGCCAGGATATTGTAGAGGGAACTAGTAGTGCTAGTTACAACAGGGCTTTGCTTACTAGGAAATTGTTGGGTGGGATAGATAGAGGAGATTATTAAATAGGGTGTGGGTTATACCGGCTAGACAACTCTAGCGATTGAAGGCTTGTTTCGCTTCTGAAACCTGGGACTTGAGGTAAACATTGCAACTATTTGAACACGAAATTCTGGAGTCGAGATACCCACTAGGACTTAAGGTAACTATTGTAATCATTCGAACTATTTGGACGGATGCACGGTAGTGACACTATGACCTTGGGGGGGAGTGAGGAGGTGGCCTCAAGCCTAGCCGGCAGACCCTACCTGTCCTCCGTTCTTGTAACTGGGTGCGTTATATGCCTCTCGACAAGAACGCTTCACAGGATTCGGGTCCCCCTGAGTTTGCTTGAGGCCAACCTCTGCCGCCTGCGACCTTGTCCTAGGACAGAGTCGAAACCCCCTTCCCCCTCTACTCTTTTGGGACGCCTGTGCTGTCTTCTTCCCCCTCTACTCTATTGGTGGTGATGCTCCCCACCAATAGATTGGAGCCTTGTTTCTAATAAATAAATTTAAAAAAAAAAAAAAAAAAAAAAAAAACTGTGAAAGCTGCACTCTACTGGGCACCGACGGTGGAACTGCACAACTGGCTAATCTACGAACGTTTGCGAGAGGAGGCGGTGGTAGGAGATAGAGTGCACTACGTCCGCTTTAAGCCTTGGATGACTCCGAGTCAGCTGGAATGGACGAAATTACAAGAGAAGAGGGTGAACCCTTGGGTCAAGTTCATACAGCCATCACCGATGGCAGTATTATCACTCAGGCAATCCGCGGAGGCCTTTTTGGTGCGGTTAAGAACCGGCAAGGGAAGTGGGCCACGGATGCTGAAGGAAGAGAATCGGTCCGGTTTGAGCTATATCCACCATTGAAGAGCCAAGCCTTGGAAAGATTCTCCATTGCGCAGGCCTATTATGGCCGGCCGGAGATCAGATGCATCACGAGTGAGACCCCCGGGTGTGAAATCTGCCATAGGCACGGGCACCTGGCAGGGGTAAATAGATGCCTCACACCTGCGGAGACGAGGGACGAAATGAGAGAGCGAGAGGATCGTCTTCGAAATGATCTAGGGCTGCCCAAGGACGAGCACACGGAGATCGAGGCGTGGGCACACTTTGAAAAAGATTACGACCAGATTATCCTGGCAGAAATCCTCATGGATGATAGTCTGGGAGATGTGAAGGAAGTGCGAAACGCAACCCTTCTCCCCCAAAGGCAGAACGGCACCCGGCAGGCCGCGGAAGAGAGACAACACCCACAAACACTGGCGTAGGGACGGACATAGCAAATTCGGCAGGACCTCCAGCAACAGACAGGCCAGACTCAGCATCAGAACGGTCAACAACAACAGCAAAGGCAAGCGAGAGAGGCAGCACCGCACACGATTGAGAAGAGAGTGATTAGTGAAACGAAACAAGCTGACCAGAGGCAAGCAGGCAACCAGCAAAAGGAACGGTGCCAAGCGGAGGCTATGCAACAGTGACATGGCGGGGACGAACGAGAAAAAGGACCGAAGATAACCACTCATAATATGGGAACAAGGCGGGAGCGGTGCCTGGAAAGTGACTAGGAAATGAAGGAAGCGAGCACACCCGACCAGGGACGCGAACCTGGTGGGAGCAAGCAGCCCGAACAGCAGCAGCGACGGAAGGATACGCAGAGTGACGAACCAAGAGACAGCAGTGAGAGGTCAGCAAGGCGAGAACGGTGCCCGGAAAGTGACGAGGAAATGAAGGAAGCCAGCACGCCCGACCGGAGAAAGGAACCTGGTGGAAGCAAACAGCCCGCACAGCAGCAGCGACAGAAGGATGTGCAGAGAGACGAACAAAGAGATAGCAGCGAGAGGTCGGGAGCGCATGCAACGGGTGAGCCGACCGCCCTGCCACACTCCAATAGAAAGGATAGATTAGATCAAAGGGTACAGCAGACGACAGGAGGTTGGATACAGGAAACCTCAGAATCTGCACAAGGAACCCCGGAGCAGAGCCGACAAAAGAATAAGGGCCTGGAGGGCGGTGATGGCCTTGAAGCACTCCGGAGCCAAGGAGCTACTCCAGCAGGACAGAGGGATAAACTCCGCGGCAAGGAAGCAGAAGACAACCCGCAAGCAGCAACCCTGGGACTGGAAGACCTGCGGCTGGAAGACCTGCGCTCGGCGAAACTTCTATCGAGTCAACCCTTCGACCTGCGAAGCCAGGACAGAATCACGCGTGACGCTAAGAGGGAGATGGAAGAAATCTGGGATGTGAGTATGGAGGAACCACAACGCGGACTGATTGGAAAGAAGCGAGCTAGACTCCGGAAGAAGATACGAGTAGCATCGAACGCCGCTGAAACCGGTCAAGAAACAAGTGCTTCGGAAGCGGAGGCAGCCAAGCGTCCCAAAGCGGTGATGGATAAGCCCCTCTTACCTACTCCATTGGGCGAGGTGGAACCGGAACTCGGCACAGCAGGCCCTGCGCTTGGCGAGACGGCGTCGAAACCAGCCACAGCGTGGGCAAACCCTTTGGTCCTAAGCAGCTCGACTTCTCTCTCTCTCTCCCCGACCCTGCCTCCCCCAGGACCTCTGGGTGAGTCAAATGCGGTGGCTCAAATCCAGGTGGACGACATGGAACTAATGGAGTACCAGAGGTTGCAGGAAGAGCAAGAGAAGCCGGGACTGATCCAACGAGAAGAGGAACAAAGAGCCTTCGATGATATCCACGTACGCAGAATGCTGCTGTTGGATGTGAAATTTGATGAACTCCGAGAACAGGGACGTCTCAGAGTCGTCCCCCTGGTCCTTCGCCTAACAGAGATAAAGCTGCAAATTTTGCTCAGTCCAGGACAAGCGACGGACAGGCCGCCGAAGATCCCATTCATCAAGTTTGCAGGGCATCCTTCGATGCAGAAAGCGATCGTGACAGCGGAGAGATGGTTGGGTGGGGCCTATGAAGTGCTCCCAATGAAAGGAGTCTCAGCGATTCGCCTGCGTTTGAAATCAGATTCCGGGGAAAGTTTGGGAGCATACTGCTTCATGCTCAGGGCGGAGCCCCGGCCGCAGGCAAATCACGAGGAAGACCCTCACTTCAGCTGGACAGACCTGGAACCACTAATCCTGGAGCTGCCGGATCCAGAGGAGAACTCCACAGTACAGGACGACACGACAACCATTCTGGCACTGCTAAATCAAAGATTACCGGAGAACAAAAGATTCACGCATCGGACGTTTATCACAGATCCGGAAACGTGGCTGCGAGACCCTCGGCACGGAGGAAGACAGACGGGCCGCATTCCGGTCATCCTGCATCATGGATGCGCCTCGACTCATCGACTGCGCCGCAAGACTACAAAGAACTAGGAAAAGCCTTTGGTAAGTGATAAAACTGATATAGCTACAATAGTAGAGACAAGGGTAGCAACTTGGTAGCAACCTTGTTGTATCATAGTTACAAAGTAAGTTCCTACGTATGTAAATATAGCTTACAAACTGCAGAGATTGATAGGAGATATTTAGGTGAAATATGTGGGGTCTTGCAAGTACAAGGAAAACAGTAAGTAAGAACATACATGTGGTTTGTTGATAAATACATGTGGTCCGTTAATAAAATCTTTAGCACCCAGAGATGCGAAGTGTGGGTAGTAGAGGTAACCAGTAGCTAGCAAGAATACAGGATCCAAGACGGACACAAATATAGAATGTGAGACGGATAGGAGTACAACCTGTATAACATATGAAGGGTCTTCGTTCGGCTTCACTCGGCAAACTGGGAAAGTAATGAGTGAATGGTAGAGAATACACCATGAGACTTCGTCTGCAAGCAACTGAGGGGATCGAAGGATCCTCGCTCGGCGCACTGGTAAGTCAATACTGACCGGTCGGGTAGGAAGGACCACACTAGCGGTCGAATGGAAGGAGTGTGCTTATATTGAATACAGGCTTGTGGGTGAGATAGGATGCTTGCAGTGAACTCACGTCTGCGGATAGAAGCTGGTAGTACAGGATCTCATCTGAAATGCAGAGTTACATTTGAGTGGGAAGGAGGCAGTAAAAGGGTTGTAAGGAGGAAGATTTCATGTGGGTGAACTGGGGATGGTGCAAACTGGAACCGGGGATTGTACAAATTTGGGTTGTAAGGAAGTAGATCTCATGTGGGTGAACTGGGGATGGTGCAAACTGGAACTGGGGATTGTGCAAATTGGGGATTGTGGGAATGTGATAAAAGGTGCTTGCTAGCAAAAGAGGATTGCTGGAAGTGATGACCACACTTGGGTATCCACCGATTGCAATAAATTGAGATGAGTATGAAGTCTGTACTTGGATATTGATCGACTGCAATTAACTAAGATGAGCACGAAGCCTGTAGATGAATGGAACCCTCCCTGCAACTCAAAGTAGCGTCACTTAACGTCAGGGGCCTGGGCCCCCTCTCCTTCCAGCCAAAATGGAAGGAAATAAAAGGCTTGATAGAAAGAGAGCGAATGCAAATTCTATGCCTGCAAGAGACCAAATTAGCAGAGAAAAGGTTAACAGAAGGGGGGTTTCCCCCAATCCAGACAATCTTCCAGGTCTGGGCACCGGCGATAGGTACATCAGGGGGAGTGACCATTTTGGGTACAAAGTACTTTAAGGGACGGATCCTAGACTTCTTTGCAGATACCCAGGGTAGATGGGCATGGGTATATTGGAGGTAGCCACAGAAAGGGTCCTCGTGGCCACTATATACGGCCCTACACAATTACGGGAGAAATCCCTATTCAGGCAAGGACTGGCGGTCAACCTGCCAGAGATGGACAAATTTGTACTTATTGGTGACTTTAACACTGCAGTTGACCCCCCCCCCCCACGGCCCCCGACAACCATATACCCCGGATGCCAGAACCATGCGAGCGGCACTCGCCGAAATGGGCTTACAGGATGCATACCGGGTGTTGTGGCCCACTGAGAAAGGCGTCACATGGGTGGCGCCCACGCTAAAGCTTCGTAGCAGACTGGACATGGCATGGACCTCGCAAACCTTGCTTTGCTGCCTCACTAGCTTTAGCATCATTCCTGTAGCCCGCTCGGACCACAAGCTGATTGCCATTACCCTGCGGCTGCCCTCTAGCCTGCAAACTCGCCCCCCCCTGCCACTGTGCCGGCCTGGCTGTTCTCAGATAAGTATTACCAAAATATGGCCTTATAGCACTGGCAGTATTGGACTACCCTCAGACATTCACAGCAGACAGCGCTGTAGTGGCTTACGGCCGACACCGCCTCCTTGGCCAAACTGCTAAGAACTTAGGTGCTATCCTCGAAGCGTGCACGTAGAGCAATTGTTGAAGCTTTTATTCAACGTGCGAATGACCTGGGGGACGGCCCGGCGTCAGAGGAAGAAGAGGAAGAATGGTGGATGGAGTGGGCGGCCCTGAAGGCAGAGTGGGACGACTGGCAGATCCAAGATGCGGAAGTGTCTGGACTTCGAAGTAAGGCTCGATGGACGATAGCGGCGGAACGGATTACTAAGACTTTCTTCAAATGACTATGCCCGAAGCGACAGGCCTCATTCATGCTTGTGCTGGACCCACCATTTGATGATCAGCAGCCGCCAGCGGACACAACTCCGGCGATCCTGGAGTACGCTTACGAGTACCATTCGTACCTGTTGACTCAAGAACAAGAAGACTCGCAGGAGGATAGAACAGAGGGCTTGGAAAGAGATGTGTGGGCAAAAATAACAGCAAGCTGGACCATGAGCAGTCTCAAACGCTGGAACGACCCATTACCCAAGACGAAATCTTCGAAGCGCTGACAGATATGCCAGCGGGCAAAGCCCCTGGGGCGGATGGGATGCCCCTCGAACACATCAAGGCATGTAAGGACATGCTGGCCCCACACTTGGTCGAAGCATATAACTCGATTTGGGACAATGCCCACCAGCTACCGCAAGACTTTGCATTAGCTACTGTCATCTTAGTATTCAAGAAGGGCTCGCCCGCGGACATTCGAAACTGGAGGCCTATTTCGCTCCTGTCAGCCCCATACAAGCTCCTCGCGAAGATCTTAGCCAACTGACTAGCTGCACTCCTGCCGAAGATGATACACAATACACATACAGGCTTTGTCTCCGGAAGGCGTATACATACGAGTGTACTCTTGGTCCGCCAAGTCCTATGGCACGCGTCGCAACAAACCCCGCAAGTGGCTCTTGTCCTTTTAGACTTTGAAAAGGCCTACGACAAGGTCTCTTGGCCTTTCTTATTGGAGGGCATGCGGCAACGGGGAGTGGGACCGCGGTTTTTGGCTGCTGTCCGTTCCCTTTTGACAAATGCACAATCTCGGTTGCTGATCAACGACTTCCTCACGAACCCAATCAAGGTGACGAGATCAGTGCGCCAGGGATGCCCTCTCTCCCCGGCTCTCTACATCCTGTATATTGAGCATCTTCACGACATGATGAGAGCGGATCAAGCGCTCGTTGGATTGGCCCTTCCCCAAGAAAAACAACTGAAGAGCTCAGCGTTCGCTGATGACACTGGTGCCATAACCATACTTGAACAAACAAGTGTCCAAGCGCTAAAGACTCAAATTGGTACCTTTGAGAAGTATGCGGGCGCAAGAGTCAACTGGCATAAGTCTGTTGCGCTGCTCTCGAACATGGCGGCTGCCCCGCTGTTTAACGGGATGAAGGTGCAACCTATCGCTGAAAGCACTACGTACTTGGGTATAACCATGCCTGACGCACTGACGGAAGGAACTCAGAGTGAAACCTTGATGAACAAAACGGCAGCGCGGCTTGTCGTCTGTGGCAAAACTTTGACTACGGGTGTCTTCGGGAGAGCACTGTTAACAAACTCCGCCGCATCATCGACATTATGGTACGCAGGGGCAGTATTCTTCTTCGGGCCCGGTCCCCTGTCGGGACTATAGGATCGCAATATGTAGGTTCGTCTGGTGCAACAACCCGTTTGCGGCCCATGCAATTCACAGAGTCTCGTGGCAGAAGCTTATCCAGCCTCGCAGAGATGGAGGCCTGGGCATCATCGACCCGGCCACGCAAATTGGGGCTCTTCATTTGAGGACCATCCTCTGGCTGCTGCTCGAAGACGACACCGCCCCGTGGAAGATCCTGACTCTTCAGACGATGGCCGACACTCTCCGACTCCACCCTGCGGATGTGGAGACAGCCTTGTTGCAGCCACAACTTCTGACAAACCTCAAGCGGGGTGCTATTTGGACCCCGACCTTGACACGATGGCGGACCCTTGCCCCGCTGGAGCTCCAGCCGCCGACGTCGACAGACCAGATCCTGCAACAGCCCCTTTTTGCCAACCCGAGTATACTGAACCATCAAGGGAATCCCTTTCCCTGGGTCGGTCCTAAAGGAGCGTTCGGAAGAGCCTGGGTTCGGGCAGGAGTCGCCAGGATCGCGGACCCGTGGGATACAGACGCCCGAAATTGGATAAGCGAGGATTGCATCCTGGCGAGGCTAGATAACCAAACCAGGAAGCGTGAACGCCTTCGGGCGATCCGACAGGCCATCCCACGAGAGTGGATTAACGTGCTCAAGGCAGGAAGAAATCTTCCAGGCGAATGGGTGATAAAAACGGACGACAGCCCGATTCAGACTGTCTTCAGAGTCTGTGGACAAGCCGACAACGAGTGGCTCAAGGTAGAGACGTGGGAGAACCCCCCCACGGAGGACTGGATAGGCCAGCCGCTGAGGAGAGCCGAGACCAGGGACGGATGGCTGCCACCAAACCTAATCAGACCAGTCACGGTAATGACGGAGAAAAGGCGGGGCGCCCCGCCAGTATACAAATTATATCAGCTGCACCTCCGCCCTTCACAACTGCCGTTTGATCTTTCGAGCTGGATCTGGAAGTCTCAAGGGTTGCAACGCCGCCACTCCCGATGCACGTGGTGAGCACTAAACAAATCTACCGCTCTCTACTGACTGCTGCCCCCATCGTCCAGGAGCTCAAATCCCGATGGAGCAAACGGACATGGCTGACTGCCGACCTGAACAAGGGATGGACTCCTCGAGCGTGGAAAGCGATGAGCCATCGACTTCGTGAGCTGCCGGACCAGAAACTGGCGGGACGGTTGTGGCTTAACATCCACCTGGCGCTCCCCACCAGACAGTGGTTGGCAAAGAGGACAACGACTTCGGAAGCGACATGCCCACATTGCGACAACGACCCAGAAGACGTCCCGCACGTCTGGCTGCACTGCCCAACCCAACAGGGCTTCTGGGAGTGGTGGAGGCAGGAGATCGGGGGAGACAGTCTTGCCATGACTCTGCAAGAATGGGAGACCTCCCTGCTTATAGGCCCGGACCTGTGCGCCACCCCAATTAAACCACCCAGGGCATATGCAATAGAAGTCATAAGAGCGGCTTTCCTCGGAGCTGTATGGG